CGACACCATTTCTGTATTGTAGGCCTAGCAAATCTAAAAGCAACAAAAGCGGAACTATACGTGCACTGCACATTGCGACATGCGATGCAGGGAACCGAAAATAGCCATGCCAAGCTCGGGAGCCTAAAGAGCGATAGCCTTCGTCCATCAACGAAGGGTCCCGTATCAATGTCACCGAAGAAGCCGAGACCGTCCTCCCCTTAGGGCTTCCCCGGGTAACGAGTTCTTCTACGAATTATGGGTAGGATTCCGCGTTTCGGGACTTTACTCTTTGAGCAGAATCCGAGGGTGCTTTTCAGAACTTATTTGTTCAACCGATTTTTTTTTTTTTTTTAGCTTCTATTTATCGTCAACGAAACTTGGGAGATAACTCGGACGTTTGCTGTCATTAGCCCGGGTACAGGAGAGCAGTCATCAAATTTATTGAAACCGTGTTTTTCCGGATAAAATACCAAGAACTCAGCCTTCCATGAACCTATTAAAAAATTTGCAGAAATAAGAGTAGTAAATCATTACGATCACCTTTTTCGTAGCGAGATACGTTCGGCTGGAGGTTTCGACGGGAATTCCCGTACTTAGCAATGCTGGGGGTGCTTTTTCCATTCGAAACCAAGGCCGATCATAAAATAAAATACATACTTTTTAAAATAACGACATTTCAGCTATATTGGTGCTTAACATCATTGTTGCAAGTTATCCGACGCTTTGCCAGAAGTCGCATAAAACGGTTTTGTCTTCCACGAGGAGGTAATATTGACGGTGAGAAATACAAATTAGTTGAAATACGGAAGTGTCTATGCTAATTTGTAAAATTCCAGTAAAGAATTGGCCCTTAATATAGTAGTCGATATTCGGTATGCGTCTCACTTCATAGGAATTCCGGCGTTTGGAGATACAAGCAGTTTTCTTTTGAAAACTATTATTATGTGCTATTTATGTAAACCTAAATTGGTCTGATATTTTAGCGTATAAATTTTTCTTTATGTCAGTATTGATGAATGCTTGTTTTTCGATGTATCGTTTGGTCTTTAATAATTTAAATTTAATATATGTTTTATTCCCTCAAGAAAATTCTTAGTATACGATGTGATATTAAAATTACCATATTTTCTACCTTGTGGGAGTTATCGATTGCCTCGAGTTAGCTCTTCTTTTGTGTGTGTGCGTGTGTGCCCCGAACTAAATTGAGAATTCACCTTGCCGTTTCATTGGTCCTCCTTTGAAATTAGTTTGCACTAATCTTACCAAAAAATAGGGAAAACGTTGCATACAAAATCAAAAACGGAGAGGATTGCGCGTGAAAAGAAGGGAAAATGAACGCACCACCAAAACTTTACGAACATTGATGGTTTGACCTGTGATTGAGTTCAATGAAACTATTTGAAGACATTGCTTTCGACGGGCCAGTTGAATAAAGATTACAAACACGAAAACAAACCAACAAACACCAGTGACCATTCACACTGCTTTTTGTGTGTGTGTAATGTTTGTTCAGCTGCCCCATCGAAAGCAATGAAACAACAAGCTCAGCCTAAGCCCGTATTTGAAGACAGCACTGCATCTTCTCATTTTTGGCTGCGGTTCTGTTTGATACCCTGATTTTACGAGTGCAGTCCATAACTCCTTGTCAGATGATGGCAACATCACTCAGGCCATTCTTGCCAACTTTCTTCAGATATAGGTTAAAACTAAGTTATAGTGTCTGTAACATTACGGCTGAGTTTGAAGGTTAGTAGGGTACGTTGTTGGGGCTAGCTGGTTCATCTTAGTAAAAACATATAAAATAGCGCAAAAAAGACAAGGACAAGAAGTATACAGGAGAGGCGCTAACTTTCAACTAGTTTTATTCAGGAAAAGTAAATATATATATATACACACGACAGGCAAAGCAGCACCCCGTAAAAGTTTATTAATTTTTTCCCCGATCACTCAAAAACTGAAATTCATTACAATGAAGTACAATAGAAGTGTCGCTGATACACAATGGAAGTGTCGCTGACAGAAAAGTGGGACGGCATGTGTCAGCGACACTTCTATTGTACTTCATTGTAATGAATTTCAGTTTTTGAGTGATCGGGTAAAAAATTAATAAACTTTTACGTGGTGCTGCTTTGCCTGTCGTGTGCATATATGTGTTTACTTTTCCTGAATAAAACTAGTTGAAAGTTAGCGCCTGTCCTGTATACTTATTGTCCTTGTCTTTTTTGCGCTATTTTATATGTTTTACTGAGTTTGAAGACTTTGTTTTGGGTGCGCGTTTTTTTGGTTTTGGGTATTTCTCCTCTAGACGTTAATATTTCAATTGTTTGCTTTTGTTGAAACTGCTTAGTTCAAACAATTTCAGTTTTTCAGACAGATGCTATTAGGAATAATTCAGGGCCAATAATATTTTGGTCATAAAGCTTCAGAGATCTTGAATTTATTCTCAGTTTATATAAACAAAGTTTACCGTGCAGCATGGAATTATAAACCGAGTATTGTAAGAAAAATTAAAGAAAAATTGAAGATGAATTATACCTGCTTGTTTTCTGCTCTAAGCGGAGCAAACGGAAACAAATTGTGTGAATATGGGTAAATCATTCGAGCGTTAGCTAGCCAGAAAAGCACAAAATGTATCGAAGTAAACTTTTTTGAGCTCAAAAATTTAAAACTTTTTTAAACACAATAATAAATGCATGTCAACCCTGCAATTAGTTTTTTTTAATCTATAACCTAATATTTTCACAAGTTACCATCATTTCGAATAATCGCTACGGCATTGGATTGTCGCCATTCCTCGTTAATCATCATACCAGCAGATACGAAAATTTTCAGGGGCACTGCACCGTAGAGCTCAGAACCTTAAACTAGTAACATTTTATAAAATAAAACAAAACGATAAAACAAAGCTGTTTCTAGACATGAGACCCCCCCCCCCCCCTCCCCCCACCTCAGGAACTCCTCTAAATTTATAGCCATCTTGTACCTCCAAGAAAAAAAAAAAAAAAGAACTCGCAAGATAGGCGTTACAACACGAGTGGTCCGCAAAGAGAGGTCCGGGCAGTTAGCAGGCGAGTGCCCTAAAACTGCGAATATTTTACCTCTACACGCATCTGAGGAAACCTAATTTCTGCGTCCACATATGCTCGCACAGTTGAATCCCAGAATATCTCCTCAACAGCATTCGTGTCGACTGATATTTCTCTGGACGGAAGTCTGTGCGACACCCTCCGTGCAAAATATCTTCCAGAGAACCCTAACAACGTTCCTATGAACTACATCTGCCTCTGCAGTGGACGTATTTTCGAACTGAAACATTCAACGCGGACATCCTTAGAAACACTTACTAGTCGCGTGCCCTCAAGCAAACCTCACCCCGCTACAAGTTTTCATTACCTCTTCCCCATCGCAGGTCTTGAGAATCTAAAAACAACTTACAGCGCTTCTTCTGTCGCAAGCGATACTACAAGGTCATTCCGACACGCGATGCAAGGCGGCGGAAGTCGAAATGGACGCCTCGGGCGGCTAAACAACGACAGCGTTCGTCGCTCAACCAAAGGAAGTCTAAAGTAACCAAAGGTCTCTGACGTCTCCGAAGACGCCGAGACCAGCCTCCTCTGAGGTGGGCTTTCCCGGATAATGAGCGCTTCCATGAAGTATGGGGCCATACTTCCCTATATAAAGCGCGCCAGTGTGCATTGCCGTTCACAGTCCTGCAGCGAGCCTACGGAACAATCGGTGAGTGAATGATGCCATGTCACTTCGATCTATGGCACGAGGGAGGTAACCTGAAGGCAGTATCTTAAAGTTCAGAAGATGGAGTAGTTCAGAGTTTACGATTGATAGTTTCTACGCCTTTATGCACGCGTGCTCTGAATATGCACCGTTGTTTTGTTCGAACAATGCGATATGTTGTAGGAACCGCTTATTTGTGTTCGCCCCAAAACAAGAGTGAGTTCTTGAAAAGACAAAACAACCCTTAAGACCTTTGACAATACTGAACAACAGTTCTTAAACTTATTTCTTCCAAATGTCTTTATCGAAAGATCAAAAGAGTGAGCCCACTTGGCGCTCTGCAATTTCGTCAGAGACATGTGATTTGTCAGCCGTCCCTGGTGTGACCAGAGGGAGTTAGACAACCGGAGGCAGCAAAAAGGAATTTCTGGGGTTTGAGTAGCCTTGAGTCAAGCGGGGGCTCCTAGGGGTAAACGATGGATGAGGCATGCCGATTGCAAAACGTCATCAGTTTAGATTTAATCTGCAAGTACTTATAGCACCCAATACTTCCGTACTGCCCCTATTATAAATTGTGAGTGCAATCTTCGTCATGCGTGTCTCCGAACACTGGTGCAGAATTACTCTCCATGGTCACAAGGCGTGGCGAGATTTAGAGTATCCAGTTATCGCTCCGAGGTCAATGAGATCGTTGCATTATCCGATAAGAGCGCCGAAGAACTAATCCCGAAACAAGGAGAGTGAACGTAAAAAGGCCACACAACTCCCCGTCCATCAACCTCAGAAAGGTACTCAGAAAGAGAAGCGGTGCAACCTACGTAAGAAGGTACGTGTGAATGATAAGGCCAGAACAAACCTTTTAACGAAAATTGATGTCTGCAATATAAGAAGGAACCTGAAGTTAACGGTCATGTCAAGTGCATGTTGTGTTAAAACAAAACTCTTAGAAGACAAAATGGTTATCGGCCACGTCTTTGGAGAAGTGTATTACCCAAATTGTAGTTTATTTATTTTACCTTCAGGGGCACAGGAATTACTAAAGGGGAGTGATGAGAAAACAAATAAAATAACCGCTAATACAAAATTAAACAACGGGAAACACATAGTTTGCAACAATTAAAAAAAACGCAAGCAACAATTGATTTAAGCGATGCCGGTAGATGATCATTCATCCAACCGAAACTCCAGGGCTCAACGAGTGTTCTTCGGAAAGTTAGACCCACACAGCAAACGAAGGTAATTATCAAGGTATTGTGTTTAAAGCTGTGTTTTTGTCTTTACTGCAGAATCAACATGATGTCCTGCAAGTCCCTCCTCGTGGCCCTCGTGGTCTTGGCAGCACTGTGCAGCCTCGCGGCCGCCCAGTTCGGCTATGGAGGCTACGGCCGCGGCTACGGAGGTTACGGCCGTGGATTCGGCGGAGGATATGGTCGCGGATTCGGCGGTGGCTACGGAGGCTATGGCCGTGGATACGGAGGCTACGGACGCGGCGGTTTCTACGGTTGAGTCACGATTTCAAGAGCAACGACGACCTGAATGCACCACTCCAGACACCGCGTGAAGAACAGAAGGAGAAGGATTCTGGCCAATCACGATGAGCACAATAAATTATTTTAGGAGTTTTCCACAGTACAAAACGGTGTCTTGCTGCACATCCTGGGCTTTGGCAAGTTGGTGTCAATAACGAAAGAACATACACACATGATTGCATTATCATCACAAGTTCGATAAGTTCATTTTTCTGGGGAACATGGAGACATCCAATCACGGCGAACAGTAGAAAACTCAAAGCGAGCAACGTATCTCGCAGCATGAAATAAAAAAAAAAAATCGATGTTGGAAGGACGATGAGCAATACGTCATTGCCTATCAGATAATAACATTTTCAAATCTAAACGTATTTTGAGCTTCATCATTAGCTCGTGACCTACTGAACGCTGTTAACAGGGACGCAACATTAGCAGACCTAGGCACGACAGGTGCTGCAGCATCGGAAGGACGAGAACACGTTATAGTTCATATACTATATTTGTTGAGTTTTGGGAAACAAGTTCCAAGCTCTCTAATATTACGCAGGCATCACGCCATGCGCACAGACATAAAGCTATTGCAAGTCAATGTTATTCTGTATGGGCTGATCATTAATAGGGTTTCGTGTTTTCGGTGTCTTTTTTTTATATAAAAATGGGGGGGGGGTTCGGTTTTTATTTTAGCACAGTTGCAGTGCTTTTTGTATTTACATAAAAACACCGAATATATGAAACAAAATAAGCCCCCCAAAAAAAACATACCCCCGTCTGTGAAGGTAATACATTCACTGACGGAGCACAGCGTGTGGGAGGGCTTTTGGCATTTCCTCAACTTTATTTGCAAGGGAATAAATAGTGATCAGTGTAAACTGTGAAAAAATATGAAGTATTATAAATATTAAGGCGAACAGAAAGTATTTACCTCAACGTAACCGCGAGCCTTTCTGTCCAGGGGAAATTGGCCTCCCGTGTGCTTGTGCGTGGAGCATTCGGTGATACAAAAGGCTCAACAGGCGATCGAATGATGCCTTGGTCATTCTGCATGGGCACAATGACAAGGTGGCCCCAAATAAATAGGTATTCCTCCAGCGCAAGCTTTAATAAACTACACTTTTAAGCACATCTCTATTCAGCATACAAGCCTGAACATGTCATTTCAGAGTTTTCTCCTTATTGTTATGTTTTATATGGAAAAAACGAGAGTTCCCAAGGATCGCCGTTTTATTTAGCGCGGCAGCGTACACTTCTACCATAAACAGCCCTAAAGACTTTTTACGCGAAACAAACCTGCCCATTTTGTTAGATTTCAGTGTAACAAGCTCGTGACACTGGTTGAATTCTCTCGTAAACCCTTCCAACTGCACCAAAATGGCCCTCGACAATGTCCCTTGAGCACAATTGTCGGAGATCACCATTTTACGGGGAGCAACGCACATCAGCCCGGATATGTCGGCGGAACGCGGCTAGCTGAGGCAGCTCGCCTTGTGCAAACAACGTGCAGTATACCATTTGAGCAGGGAAGCTCGCGCTAGGAAACAACACGCCACAAGAGCACGATCGTTTTTGACCGCTTTTATGAAATCGAAACAGCCATACGTTCAATATGCCTTTAGAGTTTGCAGGGTCCCTCTCCCGCCGCTCCCGAACGTGCACCTGTCAAAAAATGTGCGTACACATTAGGGAGTTTTCGTAGATCGTTTTCGCCGTCCCGCAAAGCCCTCCGCAATCCGCTACGATAGCGGGAACTCCACAGTCAAGGCTATCGGCGCGCAGGCGCAGTAGCAACTTCTTCGTTGCGGAACGCTTAGCGGAGGGGGCCAACGCGGTCTACGAAAACTCCCTATTGACCGCCTACGTTTGCGGCGCATGCAGTGCACCAATGGTGCAAGCGCGAGTTTTCGGTGTGCAAGATACGTCCACGCCATCACACGAACTTTGGCGCTCAAATGGCGCGCACTCGCAGGAAGGGCGCTCCCGTAGGGGTACCGGGCCTGCACCGCGCTGGCGGCCCACCGGCGAGCGCAGCGGGGGCCGCCATGGCCGCCGGAGCTCGGCGTGACTGGCGTGACCTAACCGACTTCGGCCAGCGTTACGCTGGCTCGCGCGCGTTACATCGGAGAATAACAGAGCCTTAAGGTGGGCTTTCCCGGATAATGAACGCTCCTATGAATTACGTGCCAAGACGGCAAGACTTCTCTATATAAAGCGAGCGAGTGTCCATTGCCGATCACAGTTCTGCAGCGGGGCTACAGAACAACAGGTGAGTGAATGACGCCTCGTCATTTCGATTCCTGTCACGAGAGAAGTAACTTGACGGCAGTAGCTGAGTGTGTAAAAGATGTAGTAGTACGAGGTTGACGGTTGATTTTTTGCGATAGATTAATCAATGCGTGTTTTGAATATGTACTGTTTTCCGTTCGAACGCAGTGTTATCGATGGCGTAGGAACCGCTTGTTTTGTTTACCCCAAAACAGAAGTTCTTGACAAAACATGGCGACCTTTACGAGCTTTAACGATTCTAAACAGCAACTTTTAAACTGTGGAATTTCTTTTTTTCTTCAAATGCCTTTATCGAGAGATTAGAAGAGTGAGCACAGTTGACGTTCCGCAGGCACGCAGCCAGGATTTTGTTACGAAGCCAAGGCCCATGACAAAATGCTGTATGAGGGGGAGGGAGGGAAGAGGTTCCAGCAAAATGGAAGATTTCGAGGGGGGGGGGGGGGGGGGGGCGGGCCCCATTGGTCCCCCCCCCCCCCCCCCCTCCCTTTGGCTGTGGGCCTGACGTTTCGCCATTTGGTCACAGCCACGCGATGTCTCAGCAGTTCCAGGTGTGAACAGAGAGAGCTAACAACGCGAGGCAGCAATGAGGAATTCCCGGGGCTTGAGTAGCCGTAGCCATATGGGGGTGCCCTGGGGTAAACTATAGATGGGTCATGCCAATAGTAAAACGTAAAGCACCAATAGTAAAAAGTAATCAGTTACAACTAATTACATGGTTTGTAACGCATGAACAAAAATAAATAAAAACGCAATCACTATTTGATTTAAGCGGCGCAGGTCGATGAGTCCTTCCACTCGAAACTCTGGCCTCGAAGAGTGTTCCCCGGAGAAGGAGATTCATAGAGCAAACCAAGTTAGTTATCAAAGTATTCTGTTTAAAACTGCATTTTTGTCTTTACTGCAGAACCGACATGATGTCCTGCAAGTCCCTCCTCGTGGCCCTCGTGGTCTTGGCAGCTCTGTGCAGCCTTGCCGCCGCCCAGTTCGGCTACGGAGGCTACGGCCGTGGCTACGGAGGTTACGGCCGTGGATTCGGCGGAGGCTATGGTCGCGGATTCGGCGATGGCTACGGAGGCAATGGCCGTCGATACACCATTTTCGGCCGTGGCGGTAACTACGGTTGAGCCACGAATTCAAGAACAACGACGACCTCAATGATCCACTCCCGACAACGCGGAGACAACAGCTGGAGAAGGATGTCGCGACACAAGATTGAGACAATAAATTATTTCCCGAGTTTTTCACTGTTCAAAAAGGTGTCTTGGTGCGCATGATGGGCTTTGGCAAGCTGGTATTAATAATTACAAAACCTAAACACTTAAAAAAAAGTCGGTAGGTTTATTTTGGTGCCGAACATGGATATATCCAAACACGGCGAACAAAAGAAAATTCAAAGCGAGCGAGGTGTCTCGCAACATGAATAATAAAAAAATGATTTGGGCAACGACAATGGGCCTCTCTGTCATTGCCTCTCTGGTAATAACATTTCCAAATCTAAGCGTATTTTGAGCCTCGTCAATCGTTCGGGACCTCCTATTGGACGCCGTTAACAGGGCTGCAACGTTAGCGAGCCGGTCATACTAAACGTCGTTACACTCTTTAGTGTGTAAATGTCTAGTCTTATGACTAACACCCATATTGGCGTAGCAGAACGCCCTAAGAAAAGGTCTTTATTTCTAACGGCATTAAAGGAAGGCTTTATACCGAACACCATTAAAATAAGGTGTGATTCAAGAGTACAACTTTTCATTAGTCTGTATTGACTACAATACGCCCTCTAAATTGGGTGTGCCACTGCCAAAAAGGGCAGCAAAACGGCGCATGAACAACGCCTATACAAATGACTGTAGATGAGTCAAAACATGCCTTGTTCACTATATATTTATCTTTTTCTAATCGAGATTTTACTAAAACTCTTTATTGAGATGAAAGCACGACTACCGTTGCACGATAACTTTGCGAGCTGTGGAGGCTACGGCCGCTGCGACCTAATGAGCGCATGTTGCGAGGCGCGGAGCAACCGGCTGTCGTCTGCTGGCCAAGAGTCGTCTGCTGCGAAAGCAACAAACTTGGAATTGTATTGGAATGAACGTCCACCTCCGCTACATTTTCGTCCGCTAGAATAACGAGCTCTTTGAAAACAGTTCATGAGACAACCCTACGCTCAATTTACACGCTAAAAGGGTTGATCACACGGCTGCAAACGCCAACGGTCACGGCGCTACAAGGAGAAAAAAAAAAAAAAAAAAAAAAAAAAAAACATCGGGAGCGGATATGAGCGTGGCACAAAGTTTTTGGTTTAAATATAATTGAAACTCATAAGTTTGCAAATATTTATTCCTTATTTTGCATATCTTCTTCATAGAGATGGAATCGCGCGAGTTCAATAGACCGATCTCACCAGCTAGTTTGAGTACGCCACCGCTGCCGCCATGCATCGTGGGAGCTGTAGTCTTTCTGCACGCGCGACAACCCTGCTGGAGGTCTGCGCGAGCAGAGCACGAGGCGGCATGAGCTGTCTCGTGAACTGGCGTCTGTCTCCTACGAACTACAGTTATGGCGGCGTCACGCATGCGTGGAACGCTTGGTGAGATCGGTCTATTGTCGTTTAAAGGAAAAAGAAGCGTACAACAACATTTTGTTGCGGACGGCGCTGTTGCTGTGGCGGTAACGAGACCCACGTGGCCTCGACCATTG